CTTGCTCAGTCCCGATCGGGGCTTGGGGGAGGGACTGTGGAAAGTTGGCCGGCCAGCGGGAGAGACCGCAGGAGGTTGGCCAGCTGTGGGAGGTTGGCTGTGGGAGCTCACTGACCACCAGGGGACAGCTCCTGCATTGAGTGTCTGCCCCCTGGTGGCTAGTGCACATCATAGCTACCGGCTAGTTGTCCAGTTGTCTGGTCATCAGGTCATAACGGTCACTTAGGCTTTTATATATATAGATTTTTCTCTTTTTGTTAAGAACAGCGAAGGATCTTAGGTTTCACCCTGCTTGAAGATAACAAATTAGCTTACTACCTCCATGGATACTGGCAGAATGTATGAGACTCCTGGGTCTGAGATGAAAGACTTTATTACTCATAGCAAGCAGGATGAGTTCCATATTTGCATTGGTTCTCTTTGCACCCCAAGTTTCACCTGGGCAATGTGACCTCCATAGATGATGTGCATGCAGTGATCTGTATTACAACTGAGGAACCCAGAGTTAAGGGAACCTAAATCTTTTATAATAGGTCAGAAGTCAACCTCTGACCTTTGCTCTCAAGGGAGATATTATTATTATTATTTAATGATCTTAAATATAATATTACATGCAACAGGGGAGATACTATTTTTATTATACCAGTCAATAAAGAGACTTGCAGTTTGTGTCTGAGGGAGACATTAGCTGTATGTATGCTGCTTGCCATGCAAACATCTTTGAAAGGATAGTTTAAAACAAAAGCTCATTTTAAAATTTTACTTTTCTCAGTTTATTGTTAAACTTTATTTTTAAAATTCTAGTATATTTTTCCTGTCATTTACACACATATATGCATATATAATATGCTTACAAAGTAAGAATTTTACCATATGCATAATTGTGTACTCTACATTTTAACATCCTAAAGTATTGTGTATTTTACCTAGTAGTCTTTTTCCAGCTTTGTTATATACTAGAGGCCCAATGCACGAAATTTGTGCAAGGGCCTTGGCCTTGGCCTTGGCCTTGGCCCCCACCCGCTGTGGCTTTGTCCAGAAGGACGGATGTCCGGAAGAACGTCCGATCTAATTAGCATATTATGCTTTTATTATTATAGATAATATAATTGACATATAACATTGCGTAAGTTTAAGGTACACAGTGTGTTGATTTGATATGCTTATGTACTGCAAAATGATTACTCCAAATGGTTAGCTAACATCTGCACCATATCACAGAATTGCTAGGGCTCAACTTTCTTCTTAATCAACTTAGATTCCTTTCTTCATAAATGTAATTACTACATTGCGTTTACTGTCTTCAACTTCCCCGTCCTTTTCATTTATTTTAAGTGGTTGAGAAAACCTTAGTTCTACTTTAATGCAAATCTCTATCCACCCATGCAGCTAAATGAATGTGGCTGCAACAAAACCCACCAATACACTGTGTCTCATTTTAAATCCAGGGGTAACTATTTTCAAATGACTTTTCGGTATTTTTCAAATCTCATATAAAATCCATTAGTGTATTCTATTTACTTTTTATCCTGAACATATTTTGAGAGTCTGCCCCACTTTTTACTATCTCTGTTGCTACCACTCTTGTCCTAAGTAACATTCTCTCTCTCTTAGATTATAGCCCCTCAATGGCTTCTCTGCTTTACATTTGACCCTCTATAGTTTATTCCAAAAAAAAGAGCCCAGAGTCTTTTAAAATGTGAGTCAGATTATAACTTTTTCCCCTCACAACCCTCCAGTAACTTCCCATCTCTCTTAGAGTGGCCGACGCACACTGCACAATATGGCCCTGGCTTTTTAAACCTCATTTCACGCTATTTCCCTCTCTTGCCAACTGATTTTAGCCACTCTGGCCTCCTGGCTTTTCCTTGAGTATGCTAAGAATAATCTTCATTAGGACCTTTGCACTTCATTTTCCTCTGCTTGGAAGACTTTCTCCCAGATATTCTTGGTCCTTAGCCTTCTTAAGGTTTTTTACCTAGCTGTTTAAAATACCCCTGCCCCTTATGTACCCTTTGTCTTTCTTCATAAAACCTATCAGCATTTGTCATACTATAGAATATACTTGTTGGTCCTTTCCCCTTCATTAAAATGTAAGCTCATTGTTAAATCTGCAGCATCCAGGACAGTGCCTGACACTCAGATATTTGTTGAATGAATGAATGAATCATCAGTAAAGTTATACATTGAAATTGTTAAGCAGGATGTAATATGGTTGAGGTAAAAGAAATGGCATATACACTGAGTGGCCAGATTATTATGACCACCTGACGTTTGTAGACAAATTAGCTATAATTTTGTGCTGAAGTTGCCAGAGGACCAGACCATTATAAATAGGGAAGCAGATTGTTTACCACGACAGTAGAAGTGATTTTTTTCTGAAGATATGGGTAAACAACGTAATTTAACAGCCTTTGAATGTGGGATGGATATATATATATATATATATATATATATATATATATATATTTACAACCTGCTTCCCTATTTATAATGGTCTGGCCCTCTAGCAACTTCAGCTCGAAATTATAGCTAATTTGTCTACAAACGTCAGGTGGTCATAATAATCTGGCCACTCAGTGTATACAATATTAATGCCTTTGTCCTTCATATTGTGCTGTTGGAAGGATATATGCCAAAATGTTAATAGTAGTTGTCTTTAGTTAATGGCATTTTAAATTTCATTTTCATAATTGTTTTTCTGAATATTTGGGAAATGAGCATATATTACTGTTATTAGGGTGGCTTGGTTGGTTGGAGTGTCATCCTGTACACCAAAAAATTATGGGTTTGATTCCTGGTCTGGGCTCCTGCAGGAGGCAACCTATCAATATTTCTTTCTTTCTTCCTCCTCCTCCTCCTCCTCCTCCTCCTCTTCCTCCTCCTCCTCCTCCTCCTCCTCTTCCACCTCCTATAACACCACCTCCTCCTCTTCTCTCCCTCCAGTCCCTTCCTTTCTCTCTAAAATCAATAAAGAAACAACATATCCTCAGGTGAGGATAAATATATATATATATATACATACATATATATATATAACACCTTGAAAAAATGATGTGCTTTACTGAAGGACATAAAGGAAATTAAATCATGTAGCAGTAAGTGTTATCACATGTATGATAGGTAGGTACTGGATAATAATTTTAAGAATATTCTTAAAAATAGAAGAAAAGAAAGATTTTACTAGAACTGTAGTAAATGAACCCTCTTAATGTTAAATTCTAAGACAACAAAAGGAAACTTTGTAGTGAAGTTGTGTTTTTTTTTTAATCTCTGCTGTCTCATTTGTCAGAATCTCAGTCATTTAAAATAACTTTTATATCCTTAATTGTCTTTTATGTTCATATACTGGGGATGACTTTTTGAGAAACGATTGTATCTTTTTCATCTGTGGGTTCTTACTACCTAGCACAGTACTTGGTATATAATAGGTACTCAATAAATCCCCCCCCCCAATTGATCAGTGACATACTGGTCTTTTATTGCTATCTTCATTAGGAAAACTTTGGCTTGGATAGTAAATTACCCAATGTTATAGATAACTTATGTGATAGTTGGGGAGTTGTAGGGAAGGGTGGAGGGAGAGAAAAAAAGAGAAAGAAAAACGTTGAACAGTGATAGATGGTTCCATTTGAAAAAATAAGTACACACACACAAAATGACAAACTTGCTTTTAAAAAAAATTGGTAGTTACTCATGGGGGATTTTTTCTAATGTCAGGATTTGTTCTTACTCTTGTTGAATTAGGAAAGTATTTTAGCTTTAATATTATGATAACCTAGATATATAAATGTCAGTGCTAATAGCTTAGTATTTTAGTCTTGTATAAATTGATGCCTGTGGTATCTGGACATTTTTTGGCCTTTTCTTGTAAATAAGGTCTTAGTGATGTTTAAGGAATAGCAACTTGTGGTCATAAAAGAAAAACTCCATATTATTCAAGCTAAGCAATATAAATGGGACTCAGAATCCCTGACTAAATAAAAAATCTAGAGAAAAATCTCTTGAGCCTACAAACTAAAGACCTTCAATATAATTTTAAATAAAACCTTTTATGTAAAATGAGAGCACTTTTTAGTTGATAATCAATTGACACTATTATGTAGGCTCACTAGATTTGCAAATTTACAAGTTTTTACAAGTCAGTTGGGTCCCTTCCTCAGGAAATCAGTTTAACTTTTTCCCTCCTATATTGACTCAAAGAACCCAGTTGTCCTTAAATCCTGTGAATATATTTGCCTTATAATTTGACGGCATTGAGTCAACACCCTTATAGGGTTTCTAGTGTTGTAAAGAGAGAAACTGTTCAATAAAGGGTCACATTTGAAAAAATAGACTGTGCCAGATGAAACCAGTATTGGATATGAATACTGTGCTTTGCTTTAAAGAACCTACAAGTATTCAAGGAAATAAATGCTTACCCCTTACTTTCGAAATGCATACTTTAGGTTTGGAAAGTAGCTGAGCTGTCTCCTTGTAAAATTAAACCATGGCTTTAAATAAATTAAATACACTATGAAATATTGATATCTTTTAGCAGAAAATTAATTACATATTTATTGAATATTAATATTTATAAAATTTGCAGAACTATTCTAATTATTAAAGTAATTAAACTGTTTCAATTAAATATGAATCTTTCAATTAATCTCTGTTTAAACATAATATACGAAGGAAATCTTTTTTGAGTATCATCAATGTTTCAGAAGCTATAGAGATAATAAGAATGATAGCTTTCATTTTTTGAGCACTTATCAGGTACTGGACATTTGCACTATACATGGATTAATTCTCAAACACTCCATATAAGGTAGATATATGTGTTATTCTTAGTTTTTAGGTTTAGAGACCGAGGCATAAAGAAGTTAAGGAAATTGCCTAAGATTACGCAGTTAGTGCCTAAGCTGGGATATAATACTGGAAGATAAGTCAAACTTAAACATGTTAAAGTATATTGATTGACTCTAATATTTTTTCTCTGTTTCTGTTCACCTTTCTAGTTGATTTGGAGCATATGCGAACAGTAAAACCTGAAAAACACTTGAGGTTTTGCCAGGAAAATGGTTTTAGTAGCCACTTTGTCTCAGCAAAGACAGGAGACTCTGTAAGTAACAATGAAAATGGATCTTATGAGTGAGGTTTTACGTTTATTTATTAATATTCATAGGAAGTGATTTCCATTATTTTTTGCAACAAATTAATGCTTATTGAAGATATAAAATAGACTAGATTAGATGTAACATGTTTATTCTGTTTATATTACTTTTGTAATTCATTTAACATAAGTTTATGGTTGTTTAAGAGTTTAAAAAGAATATAAATCCCCATAATTTCAGCATTCAGAGATGACTGCTAATCTCATATGATGATTCATTCCTTCTAGTCTTCTTTTTCTGATCCTCACAAATATTAGTGCTCCTGCCAGCAGTTTGCATTTGCTGAGTGCCCACTTTGTGTATTTCTTTTTCTAAACTTATTTCCTTAGTGACCTCATCTAGTCTCGTGGCTTTGATCAGACTCAATGTTCAACTGTCCACCTAAGACCTCTGCTGAGATGTCTGATAGGCTGTCCAAGTTTAATTCAGGTCCATTGTGAGCTGTTGGTATTCCCTCTTCAAATCTCTCACAATCTTCCCGCTTCAGTAAATGGCAGTTCTATCAATTACTAAATCCAAAATTATATTGGAGTTATCCTTGAACCCTCCTTTCTTTACACCCCAAGTCCTCTTGGCTCTACTTTCAAAATATGTCCAGAACCCGGTGGTTATTTCTTATATTTGCACTGCTACCACTTTGTTTGAAGCCCTCATCATCTCTGACATTAGTATCTTCTCTGGTTTCTTTTTTGTACCCTTGATCTTCTCTAGTGAGTACCTAGTACAGCAGCCAGGTTGAACCTATCAAAATAGAAGTTACAACAAGCCACTGTCCCAGGGTTTCCATTTTACTCAGAGTAAAAGCCACAGCCCTTCTGATAGCCTCCCAGATCTTACATGATTTGAAATCTCTGCTTATTTTCTTGTACAATCCATCTCTTCCTCTCCATTCTACCTCACTAACTTTCCTGTTTTTCCTTAAACATTGACTATCAGTGAACTATAATATATATTACTTTTTGAGGTGCAAATGACATAAGCCTTTCGGAGTATGTATCTCTTTTTGATTAGAAATCAAAATTAAATAATAAAATTGTGATAAATATTCAGTAAGTAATCATGAGGTAAGTAGGGATAAGAAAATAATAGTACACTTACGAAGCAAAGACAAGTTATACCTTACAGGTGAACTCTGGATTGGAGTGCTAGAAATCATAATGTAAGCTAACAGTGTATGAAAAGTCTGTTTATAGAGAAGTGTTTGTAGACTTTTGCTTATTGATAATGGAGTATACTGCTCCTTCACTCTGAACTGATAAAATACAGTAGGGATTTCTAAGTTGTTCTGCTCAAAAGATGTGGAGAGTTATTGACTTGAGAGCAGCAAAGATTTTTAAGGTATAGAATAAAGCCAGGTCAAAAGACCAATTTAAAGTTGGCAGTGAAAAACCCAGGTAGTATACTGTATTCTCATTTTCTTCAGCACCTGTAGGTGTTTGTTTTGCTAGTATTTTTTGAATGTGGTCACTGTAATTGTCTTATGTTAAATCTTTAAAATGTAAGTTTTTAGGGATTTATGTTTAGATCAATTTACTGAATTTTATGAATTTGTTCAATTTATGGGTTCAATGACTTAAAAGTTTATTACATTTAAAATTTTGTTGTCTCTGACAAATAAAGCTATTTTTGGAATAACCTGGTGCATCATATTTTGTAATTCTTGCTATTTATCATTGTTTAGAAAGTTCAGTTTATTTGAAGGTAACTTAAGCATGCCTGTTTTAAATCATTTAAACTATTTTTGGTATGTAGGTATTCCTGTGTTTTCAGAAAGTTGCTGCTGAAATCCTTGGAATCAAATTAAACAAAGCAGAAATAGAACAGTCACAGGTGATTATATTGAACTTTATATTTAAAGAGTAATTTATTTCTTTTTAGTAGTTGGAATAATTAAGTTCTAGTCTCTTCATGGGTTTGATGATTATTCACTGTACTGCACATTATAACTCTGGCTTTACTACTTTAGTGTAAGTTTGTACCCTTAACCATATCTACCCTGTCCTCCCACCCCTCATTCCCCAGTAACACCATTTTATTCTCTGTTTTTACAAGTTTGGCTTTTTAAAGTTTCACATATAAGTGATATCCTGCAGTATTTATCTTTCTCAGTGTGACTTCACTTAGCATAGTATACTTAAGTTCATTCATGTTGTTGCAAGTGGCTGAATGTCCTCCTTTCTCATGGCTGAATAATATTCCTGTGTGTGTGTGTGTGTGTGTGTGTGTGTGTGTGTGTGTGTGTACCACATTTTATTTATCCATTCATTTGTTGTGGAATGGTTAGGTTGTTTCCATATCTTGGCTGTTGTAAAAAACACTGCGATGAACATTGTGGTACATATATCTTTTTGAATTAGTGTTTTCTTTTTTTTTGGACAAATATCCAGGAATGGAACTGTTGGATCGTATGATAGTTCAATTTTTAGAGGAACCTCCACAGTGTTTTTTTTTAATATATTTTATTGATTTTTCACAGAGAGGAAGGGAGAGAGATAGAGAGCTAGAAACATTGATGAGAGAGAAACATCGATCAGCTGCCTCCTCCACATCTCCTACTGGGGATGTGCCCGCAACCCAAGTACATGCCCTTGACCGGAATCAAACCTGGGACCCTTCAGTCCGCAGGCCGACGCTCTATCCACTGAGCCAAACCGGTTTCGGCCATAGTGTTTTTTATAGTGGCTGCACCATTTACATTCTTACCAACAGTGCACAAGGGTTCTCTTTTCTGCACATCCTCGCCAGGACATCTCTTGAGTTCCTGATGATAGCCATTGTGTGAAGTGATAGCTCATTGTGATGTCAATTTATATTTCCCTGATGATTAGTGATGTTGAACATCTTTTTCATGTGTTTGTTGGCCATTTGGATGTAAAGGACTAGGGGGGAAAAAGACAAAGAAGTTCAGGTTTTATATTTTTTGTTTATATATACAAGGTGTATATTAAAACCAAAAATTTATATGGAAAAAGAGGAAGGAAGGGAGGAAGGAAAAGGAGGAGAGAGAGAGAGGGAGAGAATGGAGGGAGGGCGGGCGGTGGGGTGGGGTGGGGGAGAGGGAGATGTGAATGGTTTCTGTGGGTTTTATGCCATTTAAAAGATACCTGAGGGGATTTGGTGTAATGTTTGAAAGTGTTTTATTCATTTTATAGGAGATGGTAGACTCACTGAGTCATGTGGAAATTGATGCTACAGTAATTTAGTTTGTGACAAATATTTGTAATAAGGCTGTAGTCTTAATTTCATTCACTGATTTATTTAAAGAGATTCTGTTATTTTAGTTCTAACCTAGATCATTACTGTTTGGGAGTCATAAAATGACTTATCAGCACATTGTGCAAGTTTTATAAGGAAGAGATGGGGAAGAAAGAGAAAAGAAATGGAATGTAGTTTCTGAATACAGCAAACATTTTTTGAGGGTCTACTTTGTGCCAGGGACCACAGAGATGAATAAGTCCTTGTCCTCAAGGAACTCCCAGCACAAATGGGCAGATAAGTATTTAAACAATTAAGTATACTCTAGTTGCATTTCGCACAATTCCCAATTTAGTTGATAGTTTCATTTTCATTGTTTATTTGTTCTCTTTTCTCCCCTGCCCCAACCATTCTCCTCTAAGATAGTATAAAAGTTGGGAAGGGTTGTTAACAAATGTCCTAGTTTCTGAGATTGTTCAGAATTTTTTGTTTACAAAGTAGTCAAACCTTTACGAGAAAAAATAAATTTACTACTGCTGTTCTCTCGGAAGTTTAGTATTCAGCTCCTTAATAATGCATTAGGTAGTCTGAAATGAAAATGTACTATCTTGTATGTTATCTCTCTCTGTCTGAATTGCAAGGATGTTTTGCCATATATACTTGGTGTTCAAAGTTCTTAATACATTCTTAATACATTTTAAACCTTGACAGTTTCACTTGCCAGTTAATAAACTATGAATTTCTGTTTGGTTTAAATTAAGTATGCATTAGTTTTTTCTAAACAAAAATTTCATATCTGAGATACTCACTAAACTTGCTAAAAATATATATTCTTTATGTGACCTCTGAATACTTTCATACTCTATATAAAAGTTTCTAGTATAGGGCATATAGTAGGCATGTTTAAGATTTTAATTCTGTTTTACTTAGTGTATAACTGTAAACACAAATGCCTTTAACCCCTGATACTTCTCTTTTCTGTTTTATCTGAATACTGACCTTCCTTAAGGAGCCATAAGGAACTTAGATTCTTCTTACCTAGATGTTAATATTTTTGTATCATTTTGTCAAATAAGTTTACAAAGACTGCACTAGTGTTTCTTTATTTTTTATCCTAAACATCACCTGTCTTCCTTATAGAACATATTTACCCACTTTGTTCATACTAATCTAAACCTCAGATATTGAACATTGCTTAATGAATTTCCATATCATATCTTTCTCTGATCACCTTTTAAATTTATTTTTTCATATAGTTTCAAAACTAGATGGGACCTTAGAGACCATGTAGATAAACCTTTTTTTTAATAGCGTAGTCCATCATGAAGAACAAAGAGGTGAGTAACCTGCCTAAAGCGATGAATGTTAGTGGCAGCGCATTTTGCGGAAGAACAGGAAGAGTAGCTGTCTTTAAGTTCCTACAGTGTATAGAGTACCATAGTTTTAAATTACTATATCCATGCTTTAAATGGCAATCTATAATCTTGTTATACTTTATATTATGGATGTATAGCAGACATATGTTCTTTAATAGTTTACACATCTGTTTTCCATGCTGGACTCTTACGTGTCTCAAAAACAGAGATCGTGTATTATATTATTTATCTGAATGTCTTCAGTACCTAGAATAGTGATTGTCTTTGAATGAATGATAGTGGCAAGTGTTTTTAGCCTTTAAGGTATGTTTACTCTATATCCTGAGTGTGTCAAATTATGACTTTTCAATGATAAACATGTAACTACTATCTGTATTAAGACACAGTTGCAGAGTAGACCAAATTTATTTTTTGTGTCTTCCCAAGAGTCCATCTCTACTCCTTATACCTTACTTCCCCAGCTCCAGGGTTGCTTTCTTGCTTTCCGTCTAGATAGCTACCACTTCCACTTCCAGGACCCACCGCAGTTACTCTCTACATAATAAGGGCTAAGCTGGTGTTCAAATAAAGTTGATGTTTTGTAGGTAACATTTTCTCTGAAAACATCAATAATGACTTGTAAACGGACTGACTCCTGTGAAATCACCTACCATGAAGTTTATGGCCTGGATATTCTGTTTTGCTACTCCTAAAAAGCAAAGCCTTGGTTTTGGCTGCTAGTTCAGAAACTTTGTACAAAGCTTTATGTCAAACAACGAAGGCCCCAAAGAAAGAAAGATGTTGCCTTTTTAGTTCTTCATTAATTGGATGAAAATTAATGCTGAATATCCAAGCCATTTATATTAGTCAGTACATTGACCAAATATTTTGACCGTAGGTCAGTAACCTGGTTGTGTTTATAGGATTGGGTTTAAACCAACATTTTGGAGGATTGATGAGTTGCTTACTGATTATGAAAATCCCTTTTCTTTATTGTAACCCACAGTTTGTCATGAAACAATTAGGTTCGGTGGAGGGCAGATAATGGTGTTCAGTGTTTTACTGACATACTCTTCTTGCAGTACCTCACATTGCGGTTAGCAATGCTTCTGCCCAGTAAATCGCAGTCTTGTCCAGCAGTTAAGCTGCTGCTGGGAATTGGGGCAGAGCCTGCTTAGGCCAATATACTGTACCACCCTACTCATTTACTCCTAGTTCATTCAGTCTTTATAAGTGCCATTGCAACCAGCAGCCTTATTAACATGGTTTTCTATATGTGTTAATTATTAGATGCTGTTATGAAATAAGAGTTTTCTGAAATAAGATATTTGAAATTATGAAAGAAAAAAAGCCAGGATAATTTAAAGTTGAACAATTTAGAGAGCATGTTATCTCTGTCATACTTGTCACATGTAGTCTTTTTAAGGGTTATTGCAAACAAAAACCTAACACAGTAGTTTTGATTCTTTAGTTTAGCAAAACTCTTAGATAGTTGAGAAAATAGCTGTTGTGCTTAAATACTGTATGTAATTTTTTTAAATGACAGAAAAGTGCATTTTGAACTTGTTTTAATTTTATATGAAATACTAGAGGCCCGGTACACAAAATTCGTGCACTGGGGTGGGGGGTGTCCCTCAGCCTAGCCTGCACCCTCTCCAATCTGGGACCCCTCGGGGGATGTCTGACTGCCGGGGATCGGGCCTAAACCGGCAGTCGGACATCCCTCTCACAATCCGGGACTGCTTGCTCCCAACCGCTAGCCTGCCTGCCTGCCCGATTGCCCCCAACTACCCTTGACTGCAGGCCTGGTCACCCCCAACTGCCCTCCACTGCAGGCCTGGTTGCCCCCAACTGCCCTCCACTGCAGGCCTGGCACCCCCCCCCCCCCGAACTGCCCTCCCCTGCTGGCCCAGTCACCCCAACTGCCCTCCCCTTCCATCCTGGTCACCCCCAACTGCCCTCCCCTTCTGGCCTGGTCGCCCCCAACTGCCCTCCCCTGCTGGCCATCTTGTGACTGCATGGCGGCAGCCATCTTGTGCAAGTGTGTGGCGGTCAATTTGCATATTACCTCTTTATTATATAGGATGGGATGACCATGGACATTAGGGTTGTGAGGATTGGGGCAATTAGCATCAAAAGAATATCTTTGAGCCATAACCGGTTTGACTCAGTGGATAGAGCGTCGGCCTGCGGACTGAAGGGGGTCCCAGGTTCGATTCCGGTCAAGGGCATGTACCTGGGTTGCGGGCACATCCCCAGTGGAAGGTGTGCAGGAGGCAGCTGATCGATGTTTCTCTCTCATCAATGTTTCTGACTCTCTCTCTCCCTTCCTCTCTGTAAAAATTAAAATATATTTTAAAAGAGAATATTTTTGACAAATAGTAAATGTTATTAAATATAAAATTTGTAAATCCTACATGGCTTTCTCTGATATATATATATGCATTCTCTTCCCTACCTTCAAAGAAAATTAATTACTCCTTCCTCTCTATTACCACAGCATATAGCTCTACTAGTACAGTACTTATCTTGTATGACAATTATCTGTGAATGTATTTCTCTTCCCATGGGTCCCCAGCAACTTGTGAACAGATGCTGTGTATCTTAGCTGTGCATTCCCATTACAGAGTGACTGGCACAGGGTAGATTCTCAGTAATGTTTGTGGAAGGAAATGGAATTAATACTTTTACTGCATGTTAGCATAGAAAAGCACCATAATTCTTGGTTGTTCTCTGAATACTGGGAATTATATATATTATGTGTAATTGTGATATCAAAACTAGAACTCACAACTTGTCTGGGAGGAGCAGACATGTCTATTTTAACAATTAAGTGGAATTACAAAGAATGATGTTTCTTGGATCTTTGCTTGCTTTCCTTCCTTTTATATGTCTATATTCTGCTGTTTTCTTTTGAGACATGTTTAAATTTATGTGTATATTCCTTTTTCTCCTTTGGTGTTCCCTTCTATTTTCAGTCATTGAACATGCTTTCCATTTTTTCTTTTCTTTCTTCTTCATCTCGTTTATGTTGTACGGAATTGACAGCGTATTGTCAGGGCAGACATAGTGAAGTACCCGGAAGAAGATAATCAACATTTCACCTCTGCTCAGACTAGACTCTGTTCAGTACAGTAGTGCAGGTATAACGGATAAATTACTGCAATTTGGGGGAGGAGGGTGGTGAGAACTAGTGAATGCTATCTTGTTCTTTTCCCCTTATGAATAGAGAAGTTCAAATGATTATTGTACATTATTGGAATTAATATTGCATACATCCTGTTTTAGAACTTTGAAATATTGATCCTTTGCCAAGAGACTTACGAATGAAATAAGGAATTGGGAACAAATTAAAATAACATTTCAGTTACTTTCACACGTATTTGTCTTTATGGTTGTGTTTATTACATGTGCAGTGAAGTGGAGAATTGAGGCAGTTATTTCATTATTCATTCCTTACCATTTTTCCTGAAATAGCCTGGTAATTGAAAGAGTACTTTTAAAATTTGTCTCGAATTACTCTTCTTTGTCTGCTTGTGTGTGCAGACTTAGTAAAAGAGTTGAAAACAGTAAAGGATTTGTTTTAATGTAAATTATTACCTAGAGATGAATATTAGGGCATATTGCTAAATTTATCATTATCCTTGAATGTGGCTCAGAAAGAAGGAAGGAAGAATTAAAACTATCTTTCAGTTTAAATTATTTTAAAAATATGAGTATGCAGTAATTTTCTAAATTCTCATTCTGTATTTTGTTAGTCATTATTTATAACCCATTAGTGAGCAATTTGGAAGTAAGTTAGGGATTTGGGAGGAACGTTTTAAAAATTGGCAACATTTTAAATATTGAGTTGCTCAAAACATTTCTCCTTTCTATGTGACTTTTAACATTCACACCTCTTCTCACTAACTCACTAATTACTATAAACATTCTTTAAAAAGCTATGGCTGGGGATAGTGGTTTATGGAAGTATTAATAAATAATGACTTTTTTACTTTGAAATAACAAACTCTTGTCTATCAGTTAAACTATGTAAATGATTAATTTTAAACCTTTGCTTTAAGTTTTAACCAGGTTTTAATATTTTATATTAATTTGTCAGGTTTTTATTAGACTTGTGATAACTTCAAGCTTATGTCATAAAACCAGGAAAAACTCAATTAAGGACTTGCAATTAGATACTTAAAACAAAACAAAACCCAACAATAACAAGAAAGCCCCCTTGCCCGCCAATCCCAGCTCTGCACTAGTTTGTTCTGCTTGGTTCTTTTAATATCAGCTCCTGCTTCATTTATGGTGTCTATCATCAGGGGTTCGCCAAAGTTCAGAAAATGAAAATATACTGTAAGGAGCCCTTTCTGAATGTTCTGATGCCCTGATAATGACTCTGTTTTCTTTTATGACAGAGGGTGGTGAAGGCAGATATTGTAAACTACCACCAGGAACCCATGTCAAGACCTGTGAACACTCCTCGAAGCTCTATGTGTGCAGTTCAGTGAGCGCGTGGTCCTGTGTTGGTGTGTTGGCTGCCCTGCCTCTGTGTGGGCTGAGGACCTGGAGGAGCTGATTTATCAGGGGCCATCTCTGTAGCTCAGTTAACCCTTCCCTCCCTGCTGGCTTTCCCCGCTGTGCTGCTCCCGGCCACAGGCAGCTCCCGGACTGGAGAGAATTCCACTTTGGGACCACACACTTGGAGTTCAGATGGAAAGCCCATTCTCTGGAGTTAGACTGCCTCATTGAAAGAGAGTATGTCGGTTCTCTTTCATGTCTTCACTTCTTTTTTCCCAGATGGCAGTTTTTTAAAACAAGTATGGAAGCTATCCAAGTCCTGATCCTCAGCCAGGATTTTGCCACAGCACAGTTTCATTCTCTTATCTGAACTCATACATGGCAAACATGCTTCAGAGTACAGACGGTTAACAAGTAATATATTTTATCTACAGATGCTAAAGAAGGCGACCTTTTGCTGTCTATCGTCAGAGAAAATATATAAAGCTGTATCTAACTGAAAATGCTGGAAATAAAGCTGTAATAGAAATATTTTTTCCATTTTTTTTAACAAAGGACCTAAACTGTTTATATTGTAACTGTAGCTCACAGAGTGGTGAGTATTGCTGTTGTACTTTATCACTGTGTCATGGTCATGTGCATTGTGGAATACTCAGGTCCGAAGCTGCATGGACTTGGATGGATGCATCCGAGTACCCCAGGACAAGTTAGGCCTGTTGTTGGATCATTGTGGATCAGACCTGTACCTGATGTTCAGATGTTTTTCTCCTGCAAATAAATTTATTTAAATTACTTTTCGGGGGCGAGTTTTCTTTTAGCTAATCTTCCTTTTAGTATAGAACCAATGTGTATTTGGCTGTAACATCAGTGATCATGTACTGATTCAAGCCCAGACTCTGCAGCCTAACATTCCAGAGGCTCCACGGCAGTGTGCGCCTCTCTCCCTTTCTCAACCTCTGTGTAGAGAGCCCTAGCCTCCCTCCTGTGAGCTGTGTGATGCTCTGCCCTCCTGTCTCTCTGCACAGGCTCCCCCCATCATCCGGAACCCCTCCATCCCTCCCTCTAAGTGTCTGCTTCTGCCATCTAGCCTGTGGTCACCATGAGGAAGGCTCTGTGCAGGGCACGCTTGTCTCGTGTTTTCTGAGCTAAGGCGCAGTGCCTGGCCTGGTGGGTGCTTAGTATTTGCCACATTGAAACGAGTGAATGCCGCCCCTCCACAGTCTCCTCATCTCCAGTCTCCTCATCTCCACAGCCACAAGTTCCCCACGAGCACCTCTCGATGGCCATTGCCCCAGCCTGCCTGAGTCACAGTCATTCGTGTCCTTGTGGTTTACTGTCTCACAGGGCACAAGCTTGCGCAGGGCGGAAAGGGTCTCAGGAGTGCCCAGGCAGGGAGCCTTTCACAGGGAGGTTTGCTACAAGTGTGTGCAGAGATTTTGGACACCCTCACTTTACAGCTGTAAGAAATTTTAGAAAACTTGTTATTTCATATCCTGTGTGACTAAGAAAACTGAAGTTCAGAGAGAAAAAAGAACTCGCCGGAGGCCATGGAATCACAGAGCCAGACCCCACGGAAATCTCCGGTCTCTGGACCAGGGTGGCACTTGTCAGGAGTGATTTGAACTTAAGCAAGTTTAGAAATTGTGACTGCTCTACTCATTAGGCAGTGGGTCCAATCCTATTCTACTTTGGTTTTTATATTTTTCATTGTATAGCAATTAGGCATCCCTTTCATATGCCTTTCAAGGCTATAATCCCTTCAAGGTGGTTCAGTTTACCCTTCTCGTCAACATTTCCCCAACGCTGGCTGGTCAGTTTCCAGGGAGAACATATATTTTCTCTATCCTTCAGGAGAATACAAAGTTGGATGAAAGAGATCTCTACCCTCAAGGATCTTACAGTCCGGTAGGAGAGGTGTCTGTTTGTGTGGTTGCTGCAAAGGCTGTGCTCAGTTGAAGTCTACTGTTAAACTAAACTGCCCAGGGCCTTCCATTCAGGAAGAGGCAAGCTGTGCTCTTCTGCTCATTTTGTGTTGTTTTGCATCCATGTGAAGACTTGAGGATTTTCCGCTTTCTTTAGTCCAGTCATTGCAGCATTCACAGGTTCGACTTGCTGCGCATCCCTGTGACTGCAGGTGAGTGCTGCGGGGATGCTGGGGAGGCAGAGAACTTGCACAAGGCCTTTGGTAGTTCCAGGTGCTTCCGTGGTGTGTGTATACAGCCAGAGCACCGAATGGAACTGGCCAGGGACGGGGGCCTGTGTAGAATCGCTCTGTCCTGGGCATTTCTAGGCATTGGACACATGAACTATGTGTTTTCTCCTTCAAACCGATGACAGGGGTAGCATTGTCCTCATTTCACACACGGACACCAAATCTGAGAGTCTCTGGTACCACCAGGTGCCTCCTGGAGTCAGAGGTAGAGCCGGGATCCACACAAACCAGTTCTGAGATAGGACGGAGGAGGCTGGGTGCCGATCAGGCTGCCTTCCTTTGGTGAAGATCACACAACCAGCCTCCTTCCTGGGACTCCACCAGGCCTGGGTGTTAAGTTGTTCTTTTGGGAAGTGGTGATGGCCGTGCTGAACCACCCACCGTCTCCCACCACCGACCACCTAGACCAGCAATGGGTGTCCAGGGTCTGGTGGGGGTAAGTTTGCCCTCTGCTCACTGAGGTGAGGATGGAAACGGCCGCCTTCCCCCTCGCCTTTGGCCTCATTGGTTTTATGTCTCTCCCAGCTATACTTGCCTGGGCATTGAGACCTGGCTTGAGGACAGCAGGCAGAGAGAACATGCAATATAGCATATGGCCAGAGCAGACTATTCCATATTACAATTTTCCCCATACCTCGGGTTTTATTTTGAAACAAAAACGTGGGAGTCATGCTTATTTTACTTTGTTACCTCTCCTGTCTACAGTTTTTAATTTAAAAAATTACACGTCTTTCCAGCTAGTTTTAGGTACTTTGTCTCCTGAAGCATGCTATAGAGTTTCAAGCTCATTGTGGTCACTTCTGCTGCTTATTGAACTTTTGAAAAACACAAAAGTTTTCAGCCAGAACTGGTCATTGGATGTTGCCTTTCAAGTGCACCCTCTATTATGTGTGGCGAACCGCTGCGGAGTGGTTTTTGGAGTGGCCCAAAGAACTCCTGTGACTGCTTTATTATTCCAGGAGGAGGTAAGCCAGGGCCCTTTAAAGTCGATCACTGAAACAATGTAAGGGAGCATAATAATTTGTGTGTCATGTAAAAATAGAAACCTTTTCTGGCCATACCCATGCTGGTGATTGCTGTGATGTTGGACAGCCTGAAAAACAGTTGCAAGATTCAAAGGAAATGGAAATGCAGACCCGTGGAGCATTGTGGTCGACATCTGTCCGCTGCCTCCCCAGCACCCAGGTCGCCACTGCTCCCAACAACAGTGCCCCGTCTTCCTGCTGGAGCCCTCCATGCTCAGCCACTCCTGGCCTCAGGGATGGGCTCAGAACCGAGGGAATAAGTCCATGAGAGCTAGTGTAACCAGAGGGGACATTTGCTGATGGTTCTGAAATAGGAAAGAGAAGAGAGGAAGAACAATAGCTTCTCTCCCCTCAAGTCCAGATGACTGACTATTGGGCTTGAATGAGAAAGACTGGCCCTGGGGAACGTTGGCAGCCACCTTGGGGACACAAGGAGGGTGGGCCCAAGCCTAGAGCTGAGCCAGGGAGGTGGAGGGGATCCGGCCCCTGACCCAGCCCCAGAGCCCACCATGCCGCTAGACCTGTTTAACAGCGTAACTCGGTTGTGAGCTAGTGTAACCAGAGGGGACATTTGCTGATGGTTCTGAAATAGGAAAGAGAAGAGAGGAAGAACAATAGCTTCTCTCCCCTCAAGTCCAGATGACTGACTATTGGGCTTGAATGAGAAAGACTGGCCCTGGGGAACGTTGGCAGCCACCTTGGGGACACAAGGAGGGTGGGCCCAAGCCTAGAGCTGAGCCAGGGAGGTGGAGGGGATCCGGCCCCTGACCCAGCCCCAGAGCCCACCATGCCGCTAGACCTGTTTAACAGCGTAACTCGGTTGTTTTTTTAATCCTTTCGACCAGGGTTGGTTTATTTATTTTTTGTTACTTCTTACGTAAGACCATTATGTATCAGGGTTTGCTTGGCACCAAAGACAGGTGATCATGATCTGTGTTTTGTCCCCAAGATCTTAGTCTAGGCACATGTATAACCCAGCGACAGGTAATCAGACCGTTGTTGCCTCAGTGAAACTATATTGTAGGAAAGGTGTGGCTTAGCAGTGAGTGTGAAAACATGGGTTTCAGAGAACTGGAGTTGGGGTCACCAGTTAACAGAATTGCCTCAGAAGCTTATGTAATCTTAACCAGATAATGCAAACAAGAGTCTGTTCCCTGAGTTGGTTTGTGCATGTGAATCACCAGGACAATCTTGATTCATTAGATCCCAGGTCGGATTTGAGATTCTGCATTTATAAAAAGTTCCCACGGGCTTTTGCTGAAATTAAGAGAAAATGATTTGACCAACTTTTTCAGACAGCAGGATCCTAGTGTTCAAGCGAGGCCCTGGAGACATGCAGTGCCTAAGGACAGTGTCTGCCCACATGTTAGTGGGGTATCATGGCATCCTAGGCTGCAAGAGAGAGTCCATCCTGCAGACAATGTACGGGCGCTGAGGGCAGGTCAGTCCTGCCCAGACAGGGCTGAGGGATTGTCAGACAGATTTGACTGGGCAGTGAGGCTGGACTGACAGCCTTGAGTGAGACCAGCCTCCCTCCTGACGCCCGGCCTGGGAAGAGAGGCTTTCAGCAGAGCAGGGCCTAGGGCTGTGCTCAGAACTGCATGCATTCCACTCGGGCTGGCCCTTCTCAGCTTCAGTTTTCCACACTGGAGAGCTGGGAACGAGGAGAGGCAGACTATTTGTTTTAAAGTTCTGCTTCCAAGTCATGCCGCATGTTCTCAGGCCTCCCACACCATAGACTGAAGTCGGCTCAGGACTGGAGGTCAGGCCAAGGGAGGCAGATGCATTGCACTGCACAGATACCAGCTCGGCCAGCCACTCTGGCCTGAGTGTGCTGGCCGGGCCTCCTAAGCCTTCACTCATCTGCATCCCCGGACTGCTCCTGGGTGGGCTCTCGGCCACGGTGTCTCAATCTCCTCTCCACATGGCTGCCCTCTCCCGCTGCTGTGCAGATCACTCCAACTGCCTGCCTTCTTAGACACCTCCACATTCAGCTGCACACACAGCCCTGAGAATGAACTGGACCTGCGGGTTTGAATTAAGTCACGCTTGTTCCAAACCCCCAATGGCTCCTCATGTCCTTTTCCAGCAAAGAAAATGACTACTTCCTCAGCCTGAAGTGTAGGATCCTCCTGCTGCTTCCCCATCCCTCCTGAGACGTCTGAGTGTCTTCAGTGCTGGTGACTTTCTTGTTCTAGCAAGCGGTCCCTCACCTCTGTGTCTCTGTGGGACTTCCTCCAGGGAAAGAGGGGCCTGAGGAGGCAAATTTAGGAAACCTGCCTCTCCCCTGGGCTCAGAAACCCACTGGATGGATGACTAGTCCCACTGCTTACTGTCCCTGGGCTGTGCCCTGGGGCCTGGTGGTGGGGAGTGGTCACATTTCCTTTCTCAGCCCGGTGCAGGGCAGGGATACCAAGCTCTTCCTAAACATCTCACACCCCACATCCGATGCACACGGTAGGCAGCCTGGGATCCTCGCCCGTGGTGTTCACACCCAGCACTGTCCCCTCTTACATCGAATCAGGGCGAACCACGTGACCCACAGAATCTGCAGAC